CATGAATTCCTTAATAAAAGCAAACCACCTTAAAGCTAACCTCGAAGATAAGGGAAAAACAGGAATGAAATCGAAAAAAATCAAAGAAGCTCTCTTTTACCACTACGCGTCTACTAACCATTGCTAGTTGGCTAAGTATGAATTAATAGCATAAAATGTGTGTAGATGTGTATTCTCTTGTGGAAAATAATAACTGCTTTGCAATAAAAAACCGCAAGAAAAAAAACGAAGCAGAAAAGTTTATTACTCTAGACATAAAACATAAATATTGCATATCAGATGAGTGATACAAACGCCACTTCTTGAGACATGACAACTGAGTAAGAAACTATAAGGTATAAATCTGTATGACGTATTGATCGCCAAGTGTTTGTCGGCGCTATCTTATTCCCAGATTACTTCTCACAACTAATCTGGAAAAACAATAAAATAAATCCATTATGCGCCACCAAAGTCAAATTTTACAAACGTACACGTGGCATATCATAAAGATCTAGCTAACCTTAGAGAACTACAGTAAATGTCAGCAATAAACACGTGTCTACTACAGATTTACTACAAAAGCTTTGTAATGTCCTTAAAATGACCGGAGCAAATGCTAACAATTTTGAGTTTCAATCGTAGAATTGAGATTTTGCTCAAAACAATTAATAACATGCAGAAAGACTGTTTCAAAGTAAATTAAGTCGATATCCAACACAAAGTCACAAGCAAAACAACGGCGTCATTTTACCAAGTAAAAACAACACCTCAAAAAAAAAATTGAAAATGCACTAACTAACATCACGAAAAAAAATGTGTCACATGTACGATAAAGCATTCCACTCTTAGAAAAATAACCCCGTAATATTAAAGAGAGATAGAAGAAATCAAAACTGAAATAACATCACTGATGCTCATTTCAGAACCCATAAATCAGAAGACAACAGTGTAACCACTATATAGAAGCAGTGGTCAACGAGCGTCGTAAACCATCACTGAAAACGAAGGTGTAACTACCATATACAGAGCATCTTTGAATAATCGAGAAATAAAAGGCAATTTAACCATTTGCACTCTCCCTACTTTCACTATAAAAGCAAGAAATGATAACTTGGAGTTTTGTAATAGCAGCCTACTAAATCAAAAAGACCCGAATGAGTAACTTCCGTGTCAACAAATGAAGGCATCAAAAAGAAGCATGCATTCCCTCCATGGAAACAGAAAAGATTAACTACTGGGGATTTCTGCAAGATAAATGAAACCCTCAATTCTTTTGTGAGTTACGCCACAAAGAACTAGCAAGCTCCAGGTTTTTTACAAGCAAAAAATATAAAAATTAGTCCTGAAAAATTATGCCATTTAAAATCTATTTAGAAGCAGTATTAATAAAAACAGGTGTGATTTTGAAAGTCACCAACAATCTTACATTTTCTGCATCGTTTCTTATAAAGAATTCTGTAACCACATTCGCGGCATCGTATCGGATCTTTCGGTCTAATTTCATTTTCGCTGTGACACTCTGCAATAAGTTTCATATTTTTTCTGAACTCAACATTTGCTTGAATAAGCATACTAATATCATGTATTAACCTCTTTCCGTCATGAATACCTAAATAGATGGTGGAAAAAGTGGACTAAGAGGAACAATCAAAAAATAAATAAATAAAGAGTAAGAACATTACTAGTAATACTGAAGGCAATGATAACGAGATCTAATGTAAGAAAAGAAATTATCGCAGATGAATACTATAAAACTTACCACCGCAAATGTACAACATCCCAGAAGCTTTTGTCGTTGAACTCCCACCAGGACCAGGCGTTGAACCTCCGTCCATTATTTCTGAAGGTACTATTAACCTTCACAGGAAATTCCGCGAAAGAACATAAAAGACGAAAGTAGACCGTGTAAGGCCGTCTATATAAGTCATTTTTTGGTCACAGTATTTAAAGACATCAAATTAAAATTAACTAGAATTAACTGCTGCAAAGAAAAAAAAAAAATTGAAAAATCCTTTGTGTTTTAATAAACTACCCGTAAACTTAACTTATAATGAAGAGCGCATCCTACCTTTCCAAATTCTAAGAGTTATAGATGTCACTCTCAAAAGCTTAAGCCTAAAAGTAAATTTTTTTGACTAATAATTCTTGAAAACTAAATTTTCTAACTACGAAGGCCTTTACATTTCAGCCTTCCTTATAAATCTTTTTGTAATCACTTCATTACTACCAAGCCGTTTATTCCGAAAATTGAATTACACTTTCATTCTCATTAAAAATTTCTCAACTGCTCATCTAATATTTCTGTTATTATAAAATAGCGTTGAGCCATGAGTGAAACAACAATATTTCATTACAAATCTAATCAACAGTTAAACTTTTCAAGAACAACTGATCGCTTCCAACTATTAAATATTTAATTCATTTCTCTTTCATTTCCAGTTGGCTTAACAGTCCATTACACAACCCTAAACATTGGCTTCACAACCATAAAACAAAGAACAGTCTCAGAAACAAGACTTCGCAAAAGACTAAAAAAAAAGTATATCTGAGTGTCCAACAACACGGTTAGACTGCATGCCGTATGCACTAGAGGGTGAACCATTCGGGGAATCAGACAGGGCTTTAAGGATGGTTACCGCGGAAAAATGTCTACATAAAATGTGCCCAAATTGTAACGGCAGCAAAATTTAAAATAAAAACATTACAGAATGAACTTCAAGTTGTTCTCTGTCATAAAGATCTTTGACCAAAAGTAATTCTCGATAGTTACCTCAAGAAAGCTAAAAAACTGCTCAATTAGTAAATGACTTGCAACAAAGATAATAATAGACTTTACGACACAAAAGACTAATTTAACACACAAAAAAAGTCATTTTTTCGTATGTAGAAATAAAACGCTGCGTCTGGAAGTGTGCCAATTATATAATTTTTGTAACCTATTACAACGCAATATTTTAATGATCAACCAGCCCCGATATATCTATGTACACGTCAACACACAGTAAGACTTGATTAAATATGCACCAAAACCAGTGCTATTACAAAATTTGCCGCTTCAGCACTTTGAAAATTATTATACCGTAGTCAAAGTAAAAATCTTAAATTCCTGTTTTATGTCACGGTGATGCAAAAAATTACAAGAAAAGTTTCATTACTGTTAGTGGTAATATAAGAAAAAACTTTACTCGCTTAACGACAACGATTACTGGTAAATAATCTATGGATTCGACAACTTTTTTTCGCTGTTTTATTTTTTGTGGCTCACGAAAAATATGGTGAGCAGTTGTTCAATATGTATGACTCATAATTGTGGTTTATCAAATATTCTGGCTAAAATATCAACGGAAACATTCAGTTGTTAACTGAGAGTAACTGTCTGTACTGATGACATCTGAATGTTTTCTCCAAAACTGCACTTACAGTAATAAAATGATAGTATTTTTTTCATTCTTTTCCCTTTACTTTTCTGTTGCTTTTGCTTGAAAGAAACGGTTGAACAAAAATTACTCCTTACCTGTTTTGTTCTGAATTTTTTTTTTCGGGCTGATTTAGTTTTATTTTTTAAAAAAGATATTGTATGATTATGTTTAACTGTATAAACAAAAAAGAAATAAATCACAACGAAATAAAATAAAATTTACTTTTAATTGAGAAAGGTAAAAATAATTGTTAAAATGACTGTCTGAGAAATGGCATAAATTAACGTTAGCTGTTGTTCCTTTTTGTCGAATACGGTTCTCTTAGCACCAAATGTACACATTCAAAAATTCAAAAGTTTCAAACGTCTTTTTTCAATCAAACGATTTCTACTGTTAATTGAGGCTTGTAAGCCTAAAGCGATTTTTGACTGGATCAGATAAATACAGATGTTGACGTTTAGTAGTGGTGTGTGCTGTGTGTGTGTGTGTGTGTGTGTGTGTGTGTGTGTGTGTGTATGTGTGTGTGTGTGTGTGTGTGTGTGTGTGTGTGTGTGTGGTGTGTGTGTGTGTGTGTGTGTGTGTGTGTGTGTGTGTTTTTGGATGTAGACCTGTGACTGTAGGTAATTGTATGTGAATGCATGTGTCCGTGTATGTGTCTGTTTGTCGATTTGTATATTAGTCAGAAATGCTAAAATTTTCAGGATAAAAAAATTGTTTTTTTTCCATTTTTTTTTTTTAGCTTATACTAACAGTAAATTAAACGGCATTCTTCAGTTTGTACAGCCGCAGCTGATCAGTCAGTACTTTCCACCTAATGCTTTATTTTTCTGAAAAATTTTTGTCTGATTCTGTTCTTTATATCCTAACTTTCAGCGCTCATATCATCTATTCTTTTTAGTTTTCTGTAAAATCAGTAACATTTACAGCAAATTTTATACAGTTCTTAAATTTTCTTAGTTATTTAAAAAAAATTCTTTTTTTGCTGTTGAACAACTTTTATTTCTTCTATGACTGGAAAATTTGTTCAAAATTGTTGTAATATTTTCTTATGTTTAATTTTTCTTGCTTTTTTTTCTGGTCGTTTTAATGTTAGTATATCGGTAAAGTTACCTGATATAGTCTGTTGGGTTTTCTCGAAGTAAACTATAGAAGGTAATATTTTGTACTGATAATTAAACGCTCATTAGAAAAGCGGAAGAAAATAAGTTCAATTATTTCATCTCTGTGATTACTGGGGATAAGAATCTGATAAAGCAATCAGTTAATGAGATTGATAATTAGCAGTTAAGTGTATGCATTATAAGTCGAGAGATTTACTGTGTATATATCAGAGAGATACAAGT